GGTTATTGGTGCAAATTAGGATACAAATATAAACCACACACAAAATCACAATGAATATACAAAATAGCAAAAATAAGAATATGAATATGCCAAAATAATCCGTGTTCTTATCGGGCTCACCAATTAATTTGTAGGGGACTAATATTAGAGTTCACTAACATTCCAAATATAAAAATAATAATCCAAGTCAATGGAGTGTTAAATCACAATATATTACCAAAAATACAGTGACGAGTTATAGCAACAAAAAGGATTACTTGGATATAAAGTCTAAGTCCTCTGCTACAAATTAGTTATATAATCCACGGGCGCGTTAATTGCTTGGACTGCGTCTGCTGTAGCTGCTGTGTTCCGGTTGTAGAAATGTCTTCGGTTGAGAGTAGTAGGCTCCTACAATAAATCCGAAGTATACAACACGGTGTGAGTTGAGCAAGTAAGCAGAAATAACCAGGGAGAAGACGAAGTCTCCAACAGCAGAGTGTATTTTTCAATTGTACACGGAAGTTATGTATATTTTAACAAGAAGCGTTTTAAACAAAAATTATGTACAATATCTCGAATTTATACAAATAACCAAAAAGTGTACAATCACATTGTTACGTACTCCACAATTTATTCTCTATTTCTGCAACTGTAGCAGATACTGGTCCCATATTCGCAATATGTCACTAAAGGTGGGTTTCGATTTTGAGAAGAAATTGACTAAAAAATCACTACCGTGTAAGAATTGCCAACTATTACAGACTTCCCCATATAGAGTGGTTGCATACATTCAGACGCATCTGAATGCATACCTGGCAATACATTTTCAGAGTCATTGTCCCTACGCATTTGCATGTTTTAGTCTTCCCTATCAACCCATTTCCCACAGAGAAGTCAAAAAATCGAATCTGGGAGACATCTGCAACGAGGATTACGGCTAGTATTCATTTGTAATGCTGAGCCATATGATCGGTCGAATCAAGGTCATTTGCCCAGCTAGCATTTTCTTCGGGCGCATTGCAGACTTTTGGGGCAAAAAACTTCGGGTAAATCTACTTACGTGGGACACTGTCCCGAAGTCTGCCCCAAAAAGTCTGCAATGCGCCCGAAAAAAATGCTAGCTGGGTGACTTTGGTATCTTTGTTTACTCTCGCTAGGATCAACTCAAGAAGTGACACTCTCTTAACACACAGCATATTTCAAAGCATATATAACAAGTCCCTGCATCACTCCCCTTGGAGTCAACCAAAGATACGACAGTCGACTGGTGGCACAAACTAAACAGAAGTTTCCGAAAATCCTGAGCCCTTACCTTACAACCTGGAAGCCAGCGCAAAGAAATCGACTTGGTTTACACTAGCTCGTAAAAACGATAATAGATGTTAAAAGTATTTGACACAGTCAGCAAAAAGGATAATAGAGATTGCATGATTTAAACGTTTCAATAACTAGTTCAGGTCGAAATCTGTTTCTCAGAAGTTCAATGTTATGTAGCACTAACGATGGAATAAACAGATTATCGGAGTACGATCATGTGTTATGAATGTATGAAGGCGTGAAGAATGGGAAGAAGACGGGAAATTTCATTTAGTTTACTAAATTTAATTAAACTGAGTGAGACACAAAGGTAGAATAAGCTTCTTTCAAATGCAAAGCCTAAGACTACTTTTTCAAATTCTCATAACTTTCACTGTGTGTCGAAGACGATATTAAAATCCGATGGAGAGTTTTGATGGAATAAGGTGAATAAGCATGAAAGTGCCTCTTCTATCCACTTGATGACCATCACCAACCAAACAAGACAAAATTTTACTACTTTAGAAATTTGGTTCCTTTTTGCGGAACAGTGATTGTGGATAACCTCGGTAACTAGTTTACCGGAATTCTGGCTGGTCTTGACATCCGGAAAAGAGGGAAGGATGGCCATGGGGCTAGCAACCCGAATCCAAAAAAAAACAAATTAATCGCTACAGAAACTTCAAATTATAAGAAAAATACATGAAACTAACGAATTCTTCACTGAAATCTGAGAGATGGAATTTTAGAGGCTGATGGTATTGACGTTCATGGATAGTACAAAGTATACTAAAGCAAGATCTAATACACACAACTTCTATAGTATTCGTTACTCGTAGACCAAAAGCAAAGCATAATACCACAACTGATCGTCCAGATTACGAGTTATATTTTGGGACCAAATTGGAGTGCGGGATGATAACCTAGCTAGCTAGGGATCGTACATGAACATGACACGATGAAAAACCAAAATGGCGTGGATGATTGACCGGAAGCCTTCAGCTAAACAAGTCGACTTAGTCAGTGACGGTCAGAATCTAATATTCAGTGATGAGTGCTGTGGTCAATAATTCTGGGGAATTATTTCCACAAAGTACTTGTCACCTGAACATCGGGATTGAAGACTCACATATAAACTCGCCAGTTATGACATAACTTCTGTGTTCACTATATGCATTTGTTAGTGAAAATATCGTTAGACTGATGGAATATTCACATTCCTATATTATTCAAGAGAAATGGAATAATGTGAAGGTAGATCATCATCAAATAAGATCTGCAGTGGGACCATCAAAATCAGGGAGTACCGGACAGTCAGTTCACCCTGGTTTGGCAGTTTACAGGAATATGCACACACGATCCAATCAGGAATCCAGCCCAGAATCTTCAGTTCACCAGTTGAGCCCATCCGACTATCAAGTTACTGAAATGAAACCCGAAATAATGAGAATAATCAGAGTGTATATTAATTCCCACAGCTCATTATTATTATTATTATTATTACTATTGAAATTGTTTTTCCATTTTAGTTAAGTGAATTATTCTAAAGAAAGGTAACAGAGATGCATAAACAACTAAGAGTGGTTGCATCTCTCAGTCAGTTGTTTAGTCTTTCTTATTCACTCGTGTTATTACTCAACTCTTGAATACATAAATAAATAAAACATATGGAAAGTAGGATCATGGAAACAATGTGTGATACACTTTATGTGAGGATGTTTGTTGACACTTTTGCAAAGGTCAACATCAATGTGAGAACATTTATCATATGGTGTCATATTTACAGAATTCTCAGATTCCTGTTTACTCATTATTAGTATTATTGTTATTGTCGATTTGTTAACAATGAGCAGCAATGCAGATTAGAATGAAAAACGCCTGAATTCCCTTCACTGTGTTTCATGAAAACGCAGTCATTCAATTCACTCAACTATTTATAATTGCGTCCACTTCCACTGGTGTTGGATATTTCGAGGGGAAAAAGGCGATCCTATGGATGATTCTCCCTAAACGTCGTCAATACTCGAATTCTCATAGATAAACCGACACTTTGAGGAGGGAGACAATCCTCAGCCACTCATTCATCTCCGAGAATGAAATGCGAATTGGCTCCATTAATAGAATCAATCATGGACCGGAGGAACTCAGAAAAGTCTTCATTCCAAATGGATATCCTATACTATCCGGTTGATCGAGAACAATATGACAGTGAATTAGAAGCCCAAAATAATCCACACAGCACCGAAGAAATTGCTGTTTATTCATGTTGAATATAAAGGTGATAGGATGACTGAGATTCTGAAGAAATAAACATCCAGATTGCTGAAAAGGGCATTCCTATCGCCTTCTGAACTACGGACCAATTTCTACAGTCGGCGAGTAATCAGTGGATATGTAGAGGACAAACTGCCAATTTCGGCCACTTCAAGGAATACTCTGGGGCATCAATAAGAAGACTCTAGAAGATCTGAATTTTGTGTGTGGATAATTCATGTTTAATGTCAAACAAACTTGAGGATTTACAGGGTAAAACGAAAAAAGTTGGCAGCAGTAGAACCGAAGACAGCACTCCAGGTGGACATAGAGAAGATTAAGGCGATGAAGATAACCACCAACAACTAACAACAAGCATCAGTCATTATCAAGGGGGAAAATCGAAAGACATAAATACCTTCACTTATCTAGGCGACGCTGTTTCAACTACAGATAGGAAGCAGGTAGGTAGGATGAGGGTATCAAAGGCAGGATCAAGAAGGCAATACAGACATTCATTACCTTGAAATTAGTGTGGAAATCTGCTGCGCTGCATTCAGCATAAACGACAAAATTTGGATTTCCAACATCAATATAAAGTTAGTGAGCTCCTCTGTATGGGTCAAAAACTTAGTCTGTGTGTCACAGGAAGCATTTCTAACAGTCTACTGCCTTTACTGGCTCCATAATTGAAGATCAGATGGTAAGCCAAAAAGAGGTCATTCGAAGAAATTTTGAAAACGTACAGTCAGGAATCCGCTTCTCAGCTAATATGCTGAAAAAAATGGAAAAGGATTTGACAAAAGATGAGGAGATCGTTGGGATATATCATGCAAATATATACTAGTGTGGAAACCGAATGATATAAAACGAGACAGGCGTTGGGTCCGCATATGACGTGGAAGAGATTATGTGTGGAGACGATGATGGACTATAGGCAGTCATTGGGCTGTCTGAGGAGAATAGCATAGAACAAGATAAAGTGGAGATGATCTGTTGACTTCTACGTTCCACTCGGAAACTAAGTGAATATTAATAATAATGATAGCAAAAATAATAATAATAATAATAATAGTAGCTATCTGATATCTCCTGTGTACAAATTCAGACTGCTGAATAGCCGAAATTCATTTTAGAAAAATAAGATCCAAGGAAATTTAACAAGAATGGAATTACTAAAGCAGGCAACAGAAGGAATATGTTTAATATTTCAATTTTTCAATAAGGTTTGGAAAATTAAAACACTTCAGTGGACTTCAGTTCTTATTTCAGGTGATTCCTCTTCACTTACTCACACCAAAATTCAGTAGTATAGAAGAAACAACATAAATTCCTGTGATACAAATGCTTGGACCAATTGCCTTTGGATTATCGTAGTATATAAATGAAAGTATCCAGTGCTTACTCACCCTTCATCATTCACACTCATCGATAATACTGACAATTTCTACAGGAAAGTGAAAGAGAATATGTATTTCATATTCGCACTATTATTCAGTTTAGGAATAATTATTCAGGAGGCAAAGTCAAATGATTCAGTTCCACTTCATTATTCACATCTCATAGCACCAACTAAATCAATATTCTGTCATGCAAACGATTGGTGCCATAGGCGAATGGGAACAAATGGCAAACGTTTTCGATTACCACTCAGAGAAGACATTGAACATTTGCGTGATATTGACAATATTGGGGCATTTTGGTTAGGCTATAACGCCTTCTACAATTTTCACAATGCTACAAAACTCAACTGGTGGTATCGTGATTCAGTGTCCTCAACACTAAAGAAAGCCAACATGAATAAGTTAAAGATTTCAGGTGGTCTTAAATCGTCTGATCCTGGAAGTGTTGAATTATGTTTAATTCACACAGCGTCTACGAAGACAAGTGAATCTGTAGATTGTAGATTAACGAAAACGGTTTTATGTGTTGATGCTCCTTCCATCGGACCATCGATAAAACATCAGAATACTGATTCTTCGATTGTAGTTAAAAAGTTCAAATCTGATAAGATAAGTAGTCGTAAGATCATATCGACTACTGATGGGAGAGATGGCTGTTTCGTGAAGATACGTTCAAATAATTTACGTAGATGCACCGTGGAGTGAGTTTCATTTTTAACCGTGTTGTAACTCACTATTATTGTTAATATTACTATTATTATTATTGTCATTGTTACTTCAATACGCTTTCTAAAAATTCAAAGGTGATTGTGAATTCCATTTTTGTAAGATTTCATAAGACTGATATAGCCTGCATTTTATTATTGATTTGTTGTGTTCCACGTGGAACATACAGCTTCACTGGCACACCTAGATTCAGGGTAGTTCTTTGAAATCACTATCAACAGGCTGTGTGACTTCTCAACCGCATGCTTTCATTTCCTCCACAGATATTATTGTCCACTGCACTTTCGTGGATACAAGTCACTCCTCATTCGACCGCCACCCAACAGTTGAGCCGGCGTATGCCATCACTTGAATGTCTCCTAAACGTATTTCCACTTCATCTCCATTTCTGAATATGTATTGAGCCAGCCATAGACTGATGGTTATTACAGTGTCTGTTAGAGTCCCCTGTTTCTTCTCGTTTCCTGTTGACGCATCTCACCTTCACTATCGAGAGAAGGCAGCTGTAGTCGAATGAAGGTAGCCTAGTTTACTAGCACGTTCTAAGCCTGAAAGAGAGAGAGATTGAGTGTGGGGCATGCGTCCTCCATATCTTTCAAAATCAGACCTATAGCCTCTGAAAATTCAAACCACACAAAGTGTGACTAAAACTCCGTTCGCACAGAGGATGAGAAATTTGTTTACCAAAGACACACAGAACAGTTCAGATTTTCGTACACAAAAAAGAATTTGTTGTATATATACTGGAGTGAAGCATATCTGAGGCGCGTATTTCCATACTAGAATAATGAGGTTACACATTGAAAACATTAATTTACAGCCAGCTTATAAACATTCATTCTCCGACTTGTTTCTAACATTAACCAAACATCATTCAACTCATAAATCAAGTTGCTTCTTAGAGCCTGTGATCCCGTTTGACTGTAATCAGAACTACATCATACTAAGTGAATTTGATGCCAAAATGAGATTTGTGGATTTAGGTTATCCTGGCTATATCTCACAATGAAAAGTGGACAGATTTGTCGGTTAGGTGATCAAATTATATGACAAATAAAACTGATAAAATTTTGATTTATTACATGGAATCCAAAGCATGAAAATATTGAATTCTGGCGAAAATATCAGTCAGTCTCATAATCAACCGATTATTAATATTCTAATGTCGTTTAAATTTTAGATGCACCATGGATTCAAAATGTGTCGGATTTTACTTCAATAAATCGGAATTTCAATGTGTATTGACATTGTTTTACCACAGTTTGGTGCCCAGCACGTATAGCGAGGCTAAATTCGACTGGTTGAGGAACACACTGGTATAGAAAGAGATGTATGCGAAGAGAATGACGTACATATCTACTCGAAGTTATGCCTTGTATTGTTTGAGGAGTGAACTTCTGTGTGGAATGCTTACTCTATCGAGACCTAGTGTTGTTTTTGTACGTGTTTCTCTACTTTAGAGGTGAACTTTGGACTAGTGAGAAATAAATGATCTACGAATTATTGTTGTATTTTCTGATGTTCGCTGACGATTCGCGTATTTCGAAGAACCACTCTATTCAGTGTTATCCGCTTCAAGTACATACCTGGAAGTCAAACTCGAAAGGATTACTCATAATTTTAAAACAAGTGTAACATGAGAATTTCGATCTCGCCCCTTCGAAAACTTCCTCGATGACATCGAATCCGTCATTTCCAGATTAATTACTTCCAAATAATTTCCAAATAACGAATCTGACTCTGGATATCGCCAGAACTCTGGTGACATTCACTTATCCAACTCTCTCGACTGAATGAATCATTCTAGGTACAGCATTGATATGCTTCGCTCCGAAATAGTAAATCTGCTGTCCACTGTTGAAATCACTTATATCTGTTCAGCAGGAATTACCGTTTCACATGAATGATTTCCAACCAACCACATACATCAGTAGTAACCTACCATCAACCTCAATCTATAAGACTCTGGGAACAGGTAACTCAGCATACACGTAACGCTGTCCGCGACATATAAAATTCCACTGCTGTTTGTTATATTTTGCATGTAATACGTCTGCAGGTCATAACTAACCCAAACAGATTATTAATCATGCACATTTATAGACCATGTGGTTAACCGAGTGAAAGTTGAGGCATATAAATTATTTAGGGAATAATAATCGATGTGATTACAATAAGACTAATACTAATACTACCGCTGATAATAGTAATGATAAGGATAAATTGATGCAAGTGTTTATATAATGTAGGATGTTCAGTCGTTTTAAACGTGGAAGTAGAATGAGTATACTTATAGACACGTAGAGGGGAAAATAACTATCGCCTCATAACATCTGGATCGTGGAGTGTTTAGTTTCGTGACGAACTGTGAGACTTAGATCAAAACATGGTATTACAGCACAGTCGGATGCTGATTATGAAGATGAGGTTGACGGTACAAATGAAGATATTACCTACAGTTTTTCGATATTATGAGGAAATCTAACTAATTAGTCTAAGTTGTAGGTGAGGGGTATAGAAAGCAAAAGGACCGAACACGCTCTATCCGAACAAATGGATTGTGTTAAACACTTTTTATGGTGACTGCTTCAGCTACGCTGCTTAGAGGAAGGTGTGCAATCGTGTAGAATTGAGGTGGCGCCTTGTGTGTAAAATATTGAAGACTGAGTTTCGATTCATCCCGTGCTCTTATTCAATAGGTGTTTCTATATGGAACTCTTGATTGAAGTTACTATTTCTTTTTCTAAGCAAATTACACAAAGCCCAAGAAGGTGATAGTGGTCTTGATGAGTTCTCCTATCTACGTAACTGTCTCCAAAAGTTCACCTAAATTTATATATATATATATATATCTATAGGTTTCTTCTGCACCGTTTGCATTGTTCGCTGTCTGATCTCATCGTAAAGACTGTAACAAGCTGCTAAATATCTGTTCATACATAATTGCTTCTTCCATTCCCATTATTTCATCGTCCAGATTGTCGGTTGTATAAAGGTTTCTAGCACAAAACAACAGACTACTGATGAAAATTCGTTAGTATGTAGGACAGAGAAACGAATTGAAATGAATGTATAGGCCAACCCATAACTTCTCAACCAAAATAACCCACACACCACTGACATGTAGCCTGCTTCTTAACAGAATATCAAGAAATGATCATGTATTGCCTTCCTATGTTTCATATGTTATCTCATTTCGAGGCTAAGACAGTACTGAATGTATTGAGAAGGACCACAGTATTGATTTCATTCTCATGTAAAATAAAAGTAAAGAAAAGGAACAGGTTCAATCAAAAGCTCCATAATGGAACACCTTGTCAACACCTGTCAAAGCATCTCAACTGACACATTATTCAGAGTCATTTACAAAGTAAAGAAAAATCTACCAAAGGCAGGGTGTTTACGAATACTTCGTACTGCAGAAGTCTATGCCATATTCTCCGGAACACGGAAGCTGTAAGTTTTAAAGAAACTGATTCAACCCCCCTACATTTACCATGGATTGAGTTCGATTTGCCTTCTCTGGTACCGTTTATCCATCCCCTTCATTCCCCCTTTCTTCAGTTTTAAAATATTATTCTTTCAAATTGTCCCATGCTCATCCCATTCACACCTTTAGTCGTTCAAAAAAGAACTGTTTTCTAATCTTGCATAATTTTGTTTCTAAGCTCCTTGTAACCCATATTCATGCCTTCAGACTTTCATATCAAGTTGAAAATTATTATGACACTTAATCTCCTTCGTTATTATGTGAAATTAAGTAAATAATAATTGTACCTATGTAAACTTATGTGTATAAATGCGACTGTACAGCTTTCGAGAATGAAATCTTCGAAAAGCTATCCTTGCTGAACTTCTTGTTCTTTTACCTCAATTATTGTCCCCTAATTCATACGCTTGAACTTTAAGTCTACTAATCACACTGGTTTCAAATGTCTGTGATTAGTATTTTATAAAGCATTTGTCAGCAAAATATTTAGTAAAGCCTATTTTATATCAGTCCAAAACGAATGACAAATTATGGTACAGGTCTTCAAAAATTATCAGCAATTATTCCCCCAGTAAATGAACAATTTCCTAGGACAAACAGTTGAGATGACAGTAGGATAACTATCTTAGATGTCGAGGGTCAGTACAAAATACCTCATGAGTATAGACTTCTTGCTTAATGACGCTGTAGCGGTAGATATTTCCCTGGAATTATTAGCTACAGCATTCACCACCGAACAACATTGGATGCTGACCGTCACTGTTTAATTCAACTTGTTTAGGCCAAGCATCCACGCCATTTGGTACGTCATCATGTTCCGTTCAGCTGTTCGTGTACGATCCCTATTTAGTTAAGCCATCACCCTAGCAATACGATTTTTGTCCCGAAATATACTTCGTATTTTAGACGATCAATTTGGTGTTTTGTTTTGTCCTTGATCTACGCGGGAGGAATACTGTAGAAGTTGTGGGCATATGATCTTGCTTTGGTCTACTTCGTACTATCCGTGAAAGTCAGTAACCTCAGCCTCTAAAACATTAATCATCAAGAATCCGATATGTAGTAATGTCATCTTAAATTTCGTAGAGACCAATAATTGTACTAAGAATGCTTACAACATGCTGATAAGAGGAAACAATAGTCAAAGACCGTGGTATCTAAAGTTTTACCGATTGATTCTAAACACCTAGTAAACTGCAATTTCTTCGGTGCTTTTTTGAATTATCGTAGGCTTCTACTGCACTGTCATATTGTTCTCGATCAACACATAGTACAGGATAGCCATTTTGGATGAAGAGTTTTTTGAATTCCTCCAGTTTATACGATTGATTGTATTACTGGGACCAATTCCTTAGTTCTTGTACACATTAATTGTAATCATCAAATCATTGAATACACAGATGTCTGTGAAGAGGTCTCTGTTCTCATTCACTTCACCAGGTCAGAGTCTCTCTACTCACAGTAGATTCTCTTCCTGTATTATCTGCTC